GAAGCTCTTCCATCTCATCCTTTAGAATCACGGATGAAATATAATATTTGGGTGCAATTAGCTAATGTAACACAAGTGACAGACTTTTGTATTTCTGAATCATATGACATGGAAAATCTACTCTCTACCTGTCTTATACCTGTGTATGTCCCAGCTTCAGTTTATTTGTTATTTCAATGTTTCTGATCAATCTGGTGTTATTCAAAAGCAAATTAATGTTTTACATAATTTGGTTTCTGATTTAAAAATTGATACCTTAGGAAATTGGTGGAGTGCTCTATGGTCATGGCTTCCCATTGGCCTTCTTGGAAAGATTGTTCAATATCTCATTATAATAGTTGCTATCCTTATCAGCTGTTTTTGTTTATTTCAATGTCTTTTTTCTTTACTTAATAAGATGTCTTGCAATCTTCCATACTAAGCTAAGACCCACTAACTACTCCTGCTTAAGATGTCTTCATTAATAAAATAGAAAAAGGTGAGATGTGGAGGAATTTACACATGCAGCAAACTGCCATGCATTGCCCCCCCACAAACCTCATAACCTTTTGATACCCTTTGTCCCAAGGAAGCAGCCAAAAGATCACCCCCTTTTGACTTAATATCTTACCTACCTAAATAATAAGTTCCCCCTTATCTCTTCCTGTCTTTATCTCTTCTTGTCTTTATCAGTTCTTTCTCCTTTTATAATTTACCTGTATTTGTTTTTACCTGCTCTCAACAGGTAATGTGTTACTAGAAAATAATTGCTTATATGAAGGAATTTTTCAATTACTTTATGTCAACAGCTAAAGATTAAACTTCTAAATGTAAAATGTCAGCAGTTAATGGTAAAGCCTATGTATGTAAAAAGTATATAAGAAACAATAAACTCAGAATTTGTCAAGCTGTGTGAAGCTGTGTCATGCAGCTTCAAAACCTCTGCTCAAGACATGCCTGAGTCTTTTTCTTAGCATCGTTACAGACCTCCACATAGATGCCTAACCTTGATGGGTTTCCATTAGTTGCAGCTGCCTTGTTTTTCCATGTGTTTACAGGCCAAGCCTGTGTCTGTTAAACTAAGGATTTTTAAATTTAGCAACTTTAAGCAATCAGAGATCTGCCTCAGGACAATATTCCTAAACAGAGAGTGACATAAGTCTAATTTATTATCTTGCATTAATAGTGCTACTAACAGCTCCAGGGAAAATAAGATCCTAACTTCATCACCTTTGCCATCTTTTACCTTTATTTTTTTATTTTCTATTGTATTATCTATTTTATATCTATTATCTATTATCTATTTTCTACTGTAATTTCTTTTATTGTTGTGAGCCATTCAGAATCATTAAGAGTTGGGCAGCATACAAGTTTTAAAAATGATTATTGTTATTGTTACTATTATTATGCCTATCTTTTTTTTAAATTAAAAGCTGAGTTCCAGGCAGTAAAACAACATAATGGTTTCAACAAACATTTGCTGCATGCAAAACAAGTGTTGATAGCTGTTCATAAGAATAACATCCACTTTACAGTTTGAGGTATACCTTTCTTCCATGAATACTATGTGGTTTGACTTCCAGTTCTGGATCGCGGTGTTTGCAGCTGCGCGAAGAGACTGCTCTCTTCGCTGGCTGCTTTCCCTCTGCCGTAGACCCTTAATCGGGTCGAAAAGTCACCCTGAAGGGGTGACTACCGTTGAGGAGGCCCTCGTCGACTGTGGAAGGGCGGCAGCTCCTTCCACGGTCCAAGAAATGCTCCTTAGGGCCGACGGAGGAAAGATCGGCCAGTAAAATGGACAGTCACTTTGCTGCTGTAACCAGAAGTCAGAAGAACATCTAAGCGCAAGAACCACCGTGGTTGATCCGGGTGAGACTTTTTTTCCCCTCTCTTAGTCCTCTTTTCTTTTTTGCTTCCTGTAACAAGCATTTCTGGAACTATTTCCCTGCTTTAAGAAAGTGGCGTTTGTGAGTTTGGGAATAGAAGCTTAAATGGACTGAATTAACTTTAACTGACTATTTCTTACTTTTTCATCTACTTTGGGGTCTTGAAAAAACTTTTATTATTGAACTTACTACTGGATTTAGTGTACATGTGAAGATTTTTTTTCTTTTTCTGATCTTGTTAACGTCATTTTTGGTGTCTGGGAGGAGATTTTACAGTCTACTGAGGACACCTTGTGGAGAAAGTTAAAATTGCAACTGTCTTTTTTCTCTGTTTGATGTTGAGATTGGCTTTGACCTTCAGATCATCATAAAAGGGAAAAGACAAAGAAATTCAACAGCTGTATTTGTGGGGGTGGACACTGGCTAAATGTTTTTTGAATACAGCTTCCACTAAAAGATAACAGGACTGTTTCTAATCACTACTGAAATGGAGAAACCCTATTCACAACTTAATTGCAAACTTATATTGGAAAAAAATTATGAAGCTACTGAGCAAATATGTTTGCAAATAAAAGAGAGTAATACAGAAATAAAAAAACAGAAATTCTACCTTGAACCTACAAACTGATCTCCAGATCCTATCTGAGCATTCTATAGACCAAAAAACAACAGAAGCGGAACCAATCAACATTAAAGAAGATTCTACTTCATTTTATACACAACCTAATGAGATTTCTGATGAACAAAAAAGGACTTAATTAAATCACTCACAAACTTAAAACCAACAGAAATGGATATACAAGTACAACTAATTGAGAACCATGATAGCTTGGATAATCAACTACTAATTACAAAATTGGATATAATCGAGTGTTCTACTCAACAGATCTAAATGTCGAGACTTGAATCTTTAAAACAATAAGGGACTATCTACAAAGGAGTCAGGTCTCCAAAACAGAGAAGGGGACGCTCTTTCTTGACCCAAATGATACCACAAGGCACAAAAAGAGACTTATTTGTTGATATAGAGGTGCTGTTATGGAAATCTACTTGGCATAAAAAGAAAGCTAGAATAAGATCCAAAACGCTACATAACGGGTTTAAAAGGCTTTTTAGATACGGATTGACTTATGGTTTAAGATGGGTAAATAAGACGTTAGATTGAATAAAGATTAATTAAATATCTGAATTTAGTAAGAAGATGTTTGTTTGTGTATTAACATGTTTGTTGTGGATATAGCAATTTTGGGTGGGGGGTTAAAGGCATTTGATATAGATATTGATTGATTGATAGATTATAGAGTATAATAGAGTAGAAATGTATTTTTGGAGTAATATTTTTGTTGTTAGAAAGGATAGTTATTTTGTAATGAAAGAAGAATAAGAGGGATTTTTGAAAAAAGAAGAAATGATATTAATAAATGATTATTGATTATGTCAAGGAAAAAGGGAATGGAGAGACACCTGAAGTGTTAATAACATTTTTATAGTAGCGAAATGGAATATCGTAATTGAAAATAGTAAAGCTTAATACAGGATATAGATGAAATGTTATTGATGATTGTTTTGATTGAATTAACTATTGAAATACATTAATTTGAATATAAAATATTATTTGAGGGAATAGAGAGTGAGTTTTTAATGATTTAATTTGAATTATATGATTTTGCTCTTGGATAATTGATTACCTTGTCATCATGTTGTTTCTTAAGCACTTGTTTGTAAAAAGAAAAAACTAATAAAACTTTTTTTTAAAAAAAAAAAAAATACTATGTGGTTTCCTTTCCAGGAAAAATATCTAAAGCTTTGTTAAACTTGGGGCACCTCTCATTGGCCAATATTTTTGTCCTATTAAATATTTTTCTATTATTTTTGTTTAAACTATAATCAACCTCATACTAATGGTAACAGAACATTGAGAGAATTGTAATTAATAAAAACAGTTAGAAAACTTCAGCAGTCACATTAATTCCCTACATGTTTCTAAGAACTTCAAATAAATACAATCCTGTTTAAAAAGCAAGCAAGCTAGAAGTAGTTCATCAGCAATGTCAGTGATGAAGCAATCTGACTATATAATCAGCAACAGTTATACTTATGATAGATGTCCAAGTAGTATCTTTGAACATCTTTGGACATCCTTGTGATCCACCTCTGTGTTGGGGAAAAAGTGGATTTCTTAACCTTCATTTAAAGCTGCTTATTATTATTCTCTGCTGAAGACATTTAATTGGTTTTTCTGCTTCTAATTTTCAGTAAGCAATTAGAAGTATCAGAATACAAAAATCATCATTACATTTAAATTAAAAGGAACCATTTTTGTGAACATTATCTTTAACTTATAAAGCAATTTAACTTACATATATGGAATGAAAGACATTAGAAAACAGTTGTCAAGACCCCTTTCAAAGAAAATGGAGCAACAAAGCAAACTCTACATGATTCAGTCAAACTGTATAATAAAAGACATCAGTTTAGCAACTGCCACCTATAGTCCTTCCACTTTATTTTGTACCAACACTAATGAGCTTAATACTAGTGGTGTCTTTTGAAATAAACAAGTTAATCATGTCACTATAAAACAGTGGTTCTCAACCTGTGGGTCGGGACCCCATTTGGGGTAGAATGACCATTTCATGGGGGTCGCCAAACAACGCAGTCCACCATTTTTTCCCCCTTTTCCTTAGCTGTGCTACTCCCTTTTATTCTATTGGCTTTTGAAAGCCAATAGAGTAGACTCTCTTGAATAGAGTCTAATTCTATTGGCTTTCAAAAGCCAATAGGAATTGTCCAGGCTGTCTCTGCCCTGCTGAGCCCGCCCAAAGTCCCATTCTGCAAACGGTGCTGCACCAGTTGAGTAGTCCTCGACTTACGACCGGTTGAATAGTCCTCGACTTACGACTGGTTGGGGGTCGCGGCATTAAAAAGGTTGAGAACCACTGCTATAAGATCTCTACTGAGGTAGATCAATACAAGCATGTGCACATATACATACAAAAGAGGCACTGAAGAAAATAAGGATAGTGTTGCTGAATATGTATTTCCATCAAAGCTAATTGATATAACTAAACCAATTCAAAATCAACCAAATTATAATGTGAATTATTAGCTATCAAATAATAAAGGTGGTCATACCAGGAAAGGAGATGCTTTGCCTCAAGCCCATGCAATCTAGTCCCGTAGGTGTGCTCTGGGAATAGAGGTGCAACTTGAGAGAAAGGGCATTAGTGGCCACTGGAGAAGTAACTGATTTCATTTTAACCTACAGGGAAAAAAAGTAGTAACACATTTATACAAATGACTAGCCTGAGCTCCAAAAAGATTACCTGGTTTTCTGTTTTTTAAAAAAGTCTTGCCTTCAACCTAAACAATCTGGATAAAGAAAGCAAATGAGAATGTTAAAGGACAGCAGGAAGTATTCTCTGAGTGAAAAGAGTTTTATGGGTATCAGAAATGCTAGATAAGTCATTATGAAGAATTTTAAAAGGAAAAGAATGGTCTTAAAATTACACATTTGTGATAACGAGGGGTGGGGGAGAATGAATTAATATTGTGTGGTCCTTGGTTTTCTCCATGCAGTTGTTTAATACTTAATACTGCTTCTAATAAAGTTACATTTATATAGTTTATATTCTAAAATATAAATTTTAAAATATAAATTATATTCTAAAATATAAATACTTTTCAATCCACTCATCATAAGTATGTTCATATGAAGCCATGCATCCTATATGAGGCAATAAAGAAGACCTATCTGTCAAGATAACCTTTCCTTTTATGGTTAGTCAAGTTAATGCAAAATTGCCATACTGTGTTAGAAACAAAGGAAGCAGAAGTTAACAGAATCATTGAAAGGGAAGGATGAGATGAAAACAGAGAGAACAGACAACTTATATTTGGTTCCTTACATTGAGTTGTTCTTCTGGAAAGTTACTTAATTCATTGTTTCTGTCTGTCTGAGCCTCTTTCACAAAGGTCCTTTTTCGATTTCTCTCCATCCATGCATCATCAAAGCTGAAGCACTTGTACAGGTATTTGTGTCTCTTCTGCTGGATGTGCTTTTTTATCTTTCCCTCCTGGATATAGAAAGGAAGGCTCCAGGCCTTGTCCTCTACACTTGAATCCAAAGACCCTGGCATCTGAATGAACTTCTTTCGATAAGGAAGATCATGCTTTTCATCTGAGCTCTTTTCTGATGAAATTTCACTTTGTTGGGAATGTTCCTATTTTATAAATAACAGGTGAAAATATCTTTAAAACATGTTTTTTTGTTGACCATTTTGGGCAGCTCACTGCAAGCAGTCATTATAAACCTGGAATATCTTATTATATTTGTCACTTTTTAAAGTAACATCATCTATAAGTAAACTCTTTATTGATTCAGTGTGGATGCCGCAATCTAAATGAAACCTGGATTTGCACTCACCTGTATTAACTTCATGTAAAGCCTGGATGGATGCTCAGATAAGCACTGAGGAAAAATATTTCAGCATAGTGTAGATACTCTTGAACAGTTGCTGCAGGGCAGCACATGGCAGGGCTCACTTGCCATATTCTGTTTGTGGTGCGGTCCCAGTTCAAATGCCCCTCCCATATGCATTACTCATACAATACATAGAAAATTCTAAACAGCCATTTTAACTATTAATCAAGTAAACCAACCAATCTAGAAGGACTGGCATCAGAAGACTTTTGACCAAGAGTTCCTTAAAACTGAAGCTGCTGCTAAGAATATACAATTAGCAAAGCTCAGGTAGCTATTTTCTTAAGCATCCTTTGCATTCTCTACGTATGATAACTGTTGTTGGGCCTATAATAAGGAACACCTTGCAATATAAAACCTTGCCTCCAGAGGGCACAGTAAAATTTTATTTAGCTGTGACAGTTCACTACCTTCCCTAGTAATACCGAGATTTTTGTCCACATATCTAAACTTACTTGGTACACTTAGATGTCTCTCCAATTTTGGAATGCTGCCTTCCCCTAAGAACTATGTTTCTTTTTCCTTTCTATTATTTCAGCCAGAAATTAGATTTACAGATGTAAGTTCTATAGAAAGGAGTTCAACAAACTTCTATATATACTTCTGTATATAAACATCTATATACACAGTTCTGCATTATATGGAAATAGGAGGCTATAATTTCAGAAATCTCTAGGAATATAAGAAATTGGTGTCGTGATCCTAGAAAGCCTAGTACAGACTATGCAATTGTCCTTCTGAGAAGCAAAAAAAAAAAAAGTTTGAACATAGAGATAACCAATCCCTTGCACTGAAGAGCTAGCATTGATTTTTACTTTATATTTTTAGCATCAGTTGAAATGGTGGCATTTGTCTCATTTTCAGCCCACAGTAGAAGAGGCCTGAAGTTGTCTTTAACTGTTCTAGTCTTAAAGTAATATTTTTTCCTTTTCTCTCAACATAATGACCATACTTCATCAATAATTTGGCTGATGACATGTTCAGGAGTGGGATCAATCCACTTGGTCACTTAAAACTGCTACAGACATGGTCCTCTCTTTTCTTGTCAGTGGGCATTGCTTTCCAGAGGCCTTTGAGGTTTTCGTTGCAGAAAGACTGACATCTGGCTTCTGCGGCAGCGTCTGCCTGCATAATGTCTGTGCAGGAATTTTCAAAGCCTTATACGGGTCCTTATAGCTATGAGTTTAGCACTGTTTTGGAAGAATACTAGACCTATGTTTAAATATCATTTCTGACAGATGCTATTCCTGTGCTACACAGAAGGTCAGTTTTAAATGGAAAAGAGAGCCAGCTGTGTGTTGCTGGTTCTGTCATCATTGGATATATTACAGATTTCTCATTGCTACTGTTAGCCATACTTTTCCTGGTTTTAATACTTTCCGGAAGCACCATTTTGCCTACTCTGTTCTGTCTCCATGACAATTTATGGGCTACTTTTTAGTTTGTTGACTATGAGGACAGGGGTGGACTCATTACCATTCCCTTGCAGCACTAGTTTAGGATAGATCTTTTTTTCCTATCAATTTACTCTTATTTCAACCTTTTCAACAGTCTCCCTTGTGCTTGTAGTCTAATTGATACATCATAATCTATTAGGCAAACCTTGACAGCTGGCTAAACACACCATTCAAAAAAACTTCCTACACTCAGTGAAGCCTGTGGGGTACACATCAGGAAAAATGATTGGAGGCTACTTTCGTGCTATAGGCAATGCTTGGTAGAAGGGGCTGTAAAGTCAAGCGCTTTCTTAACTTTTCCTACACTTAAACAGAAAGAACTGTACTGGGCACCACTTTAATTACATTGGCAGACTAGGGCTCTGCAATCATTCCAGAACAATTTATGACAGAATACCTTTCTGCTCCTCAAGAACTAATGGACAATAGTTTAATGTTTGGCCATCCCTTTGTCTTCTCTATAGGAGAGCAGGTGATATGAACGTTCTCTGAATTCTGCAAAGTGCCTCTTGATCTGAATGCATGGTTGCAGCATAATTGCACAGATAATGTGGCCTGGTACATCTGTACTAAAAGTAAAAAAAACCAAAAACCTAACCCCTCATTAAAAGACAGTAACAGAGAAAACTACCATCATTAAATTTTAACCCAGGTATTTAAAATGAAAAACCTGCATTTGTTTAGAAATGAAAAGAAGCACTCTTTCAGCACCATTTTTCAGAGGTCATTTCTGAAAGCAAACCTATGACTACAATACCATATCCTCACATACTTATGAAATATGAAAATAGACTAATTAGCTCTAAATATTTTTTCTGAACAGTCTTATAACCAGAATCTTAAATTATTATCTCATCTTATTTCCAGGTTCTCTGGAGAATTTAAACAAATGAGTATTTCTGATGCCATATGTCTTGTGAGCAAGTTTCTAAGGTTACCTCAAAATATGAAGTTTATAACGTTGAACATGACATCCAAATTAACCCAGAATTCCACTTGAGATACATAAGGAAAAGAATGAAGATAAATCCTTATCAGTAGACTCAGTGCCAATACACATAATCTCCTGCAGAGCAACTCACCTCATCTCTGATTATATCACTCATTGAAGTAGTAGTATTTAAGCTGATCTGTGACTGGCTGCTTATCCCACTGTCTTCTCTCAAATAGTCATTATCTAATGAGTGCATGGACTGCAAGAAACTAGATCTGGGTTTCAATGTCTTTGGCCTCTCAGGTGCTTCCAAACCGCCATCAATAACAGAGATATTTCCAAGAGATATCAATGAAGTTGAACTTAATTTGCCAGGATAATGGAAGCCCATGCGCTGATGAGCAGTTCGAGGACTCTGTGGCTTGGGACTCATAGGCCTGCATGGCATGTCTTTACGTTCATACATTGACAACTGGGGGCAAGAAGGAGTGAACTGAGGAAATGACGACTGCAGATCAATTGGAGTAATTGGAGATTTCAGCCAGAGTTCTTCACAGGAAGTATTCCCATCATTCCCCATCATTTTCGCTTTCCCAGTGCAATCTGGGCTATAGGATGACTCTCTCCTCTTCCTCCTGGTGTCTATAGGTAGAAAGTCAGCAGGCCCAAAGGAATAGGAATGCCCACCTGCTGTAGATGAGCCATTAGAAACATTGTATTTTAAAAATTCTTGCCCATTTTGATACTCCTTTTTTTCCTTCAATGTTTTTCTACCAAAGCTTCCAGAGCTCCTATTTGAACAGGGATTTTGCTTCAGGCTATCTGCCTCTTTGCTTTTCAGAAAAGCTTTCCAAGATTGGTGCATTTTCATTTTTTCTTTTTCATTTTTTAATGAAATTTTTGGACTGTGTTGAGCATTTTCCTTTTCCAGAGTTTTAGATTCAAAAAAACTTGAAAAGGATCTGTGAGCCAAGGCCAATCGGCTCCGGAATTTTTTGCTATCTATGCTTTTGTTACTTTTAAAATCATTGTCAGGAGAGGATTTCCGGACTTCAGGGTACTCAGTAAACTCATTATTGTTGTTCTCTCCAAATCCTAAATTTGTTCCTTCGCCATATTTCACTCTGGCTAACATGGGAGAAGAAGAATATGTGCCTGAACTTTCCAAGAGTGTCCGATCACAGCTAGAAGCTTTTCTCAGACTAATTCTATTGAAAAGTCCAGTAGGTCTTTCAAAGAATAAATCATCATCATCTGAATATCCTGCAAGACATTGATCCTTGTTTTGCAAAGTAGAACAGGATGAATTGAGGTCTTTCCAATTATCTTCTACTTCATCTGCTTTATCACTATCAATTGTTACTTCCTTAGTTTTCATGTTATCTTGATTGTCAGGAGGTGTTAACTTAGATTTCCTGAAAGATGCCATCTTGGGGAAAGCTAAGAATTTAGAATACTTAACAGACTTTTCTATGGCACCCATTTTGTTGATTCTCTGCACTGCCTTATAGAAACTATTGTTACTACCCAAAAAATTAATGATATTATTGTCCATCTCTTCACTATTTGCACTGCCCATGCTGATATTATCTAGGCCACTGGTACTATTATCTTGGGTGTCAGTTTTCATGGGAGTGTCACAGATATCTGGATTCACATTCATGTCATAGTTTTTACTAATGCACTTTGAATCTTCTGCTGAGAAGACTTCATCTGATTCTGATTTTGGAGAAAGAGCAATTTCCTGTATTATATCACAGATTTTGGAGTCTTCCTCCTCAATAATTTGCTTAGCATTGATTTTATTTCCTTCATCATCAACAATGTCTTGGCACAATATATTTACACTATTCATTTCCTGTCTTCTTGCAGTATTTACACAAGCATCTTGTTCTACATTTGTGGTCATAGATCCATCCATTGCTGTATAGCCACGAGTTTGAGATTGATGGTTTGTTATTTGTACTGTCTCTAAGACAGAATCACCCATCAACTGACATGGGTTTATTAGTGATATGCCCCTATTTGTTGCAGGCAGGTCCAAGGACAAAATATCTATGCATCCCTCTTCTTTCCAAGTTTGCATAGTACTTTCTAAAAGTAAATTAGTTGTGGATGTATTGTTCACCAAACTAGCTTCCGTAGATTTTGCAGAGACTGACAAAGACAGCGAGTCCAGCATGTTTGCATCTGCTTCGCAATGTGTATTTCTTGAACTTACCTCAGGAGCCGCCTTAACTAGGAATTCATCTTCATTGTATGACAACACCTGCACAGAAAACGTGTCATTTGTACAACTGGACTTTCCATTTGGAGATTCTTCTGATTTTGTGGCATCCATGATGGTGATGAGATCAGAGTTTGAATTCTCATGGTCTACTATCTCAGTAAATTTAATCAAAGAGTTCTCAACTTCAACCTTTGTTTGCAATCGTTCTTGAACAGGAGTTTCCATCAATAAAGCTTTTAACTCAGAAATGTTATCTGATTTTTCCTTCTGGCACATATAATGTGGTATTAGTGCTATTTCAAAAGCAGTGACATCAACATCTTCACCATTACTACAATTGCAAGCCTTCTTTTCTATATCATTGAGATGATTCAAAGGGTATTTTAATACGTTGGATGTACTGGATTCCTGTTCTCTAAAATCTTTTCCATTTGACGTCAGAATCTCAACTGCCTTCTCACAGCCTATATTTGGTCCATGTTTGCTTCTCACTTCAGATGCTCTGAGAAAAGCCTCAAGGTTTTGAGTTTTAATGCATTTGCTTTCCTTGTTTACATCTGCATTAATCATGGAAGCATGAACAACACAAGTATTATCATATTTATTTGCCATACTGCATTTATCTATGTATCTTTCTGAGACATGAACATCACAGATGTGAGATTCAGAACTAATGTGATTTGGAAACAACCCTTTAATTTCTATCTGATCCTTTGATTTCAGATGTTTTTTTAACACTAAATTGGCATTTATATGTGTTGATATACATCCCATATTTGAAAAAGTATTATTTTTAGAATTGTTTTCTGAGGAATTTGGCAGCTGGGACAATATCAAAGACTGACACTCAGATGTATCTATTTCTTTTGTTGTAAGGCCACAGAGCTGGGATTTGTTGGTCCCATGGGAGTTTTCTGTTTGCTTCTGTACATTCTTATTTGAAATCAAATGAGGATTAAGAAATAATCCTTTAATATTAATGTCTTTTCCCACTTTTAAGGATGTTTTTGAACAGTCTATGTTTTTTTTAATATGAACATGATCTGATTCTTTTAGGGGCAATGTGAAGCATGATTGGCTTAATTTATCTGCCAGGCAAAGGCAATCATTGATATGTTTTCTGATATCTTGACCATTTATATTTCCAGGAGAACTATGCCATGATTTCATTGCTAAATTTCCTGGCTTTGTGGAAGGCACCAGAAATGTAGATTTAAAATCTGTGAATTTCTGCTTTCTGCCACACAAATTTGTTTCTACAGTTTTTTGACTGTCAAAAATATTCTTCTGACTATACTCGGTATTAAATATACAATCTCTTTTATACTTCATTTTGGAAGATTCATTATACCTTTTCCAACTTCCATTTGTTTCTAAATGAATATTAGGCAAACTGTTTCTGGAAACTATTTCTGAGCAGGAACAGCAAGTTTCAGAAAAATTCAAAGAGCTTTCAGAGTTTGTTCTGAGATTAACCAATGTTACTGTTTCTGGGCTCAATCTCTCTTTGCTACTAGCACCTTTAATTTGATCCTCTGAATGGGTATAGAAGTGTGCTTCTCTGTTTGCAGATTTTGTCCCCACTTTTAACAAAGCTTCAGTCTGTAACACAAAATCATTTTTATTAGCCTTTGACCCTGTGGAGGTAATACTGTAAGGTAACAACTGCTCCTTTCCTTTGACGTCTTCAGTTTTGGATTCTGGTAGTAATAACTCCAATGCACATTTGCTTGTTGCTACATGTAAGACTGAAGGGAATTCCACACTTTCCTTCTGAATAAATCCCAATTCTTTTGTAAAATACTTGGGAGGAGACCTATCTCCTTTTGTTTTGGAATGCTTATGCCATGATTCTTCTATTTCTGAAGAAAGATTTGGTTCTCTAGTATCACTGGCAATGGACTCTGAGTCTGACACACTTTCATAAGGCTCTGTCTTGATATCTGACAATGATTCACTTTGATGTGACTGGGTTTCAAAATAGTCTTCATCTGTTTCCTGGCCTGATCCACTTATCTCCAGCTCTGGAGTATCTGGGATTGAAGAATTCTGGTCTTCTTCAATCTCTCCTTCACTTGTGCAGTTGTCAACTGGCTCTGAGGCCTATAAAAAGAGGAGAAATTAATCAATAATAGAGTCTTGTATAAAGAAAATTAATTTATAACAGTTGTGGTTCCCATTGCTCTCCCCAGAACTGCAACAGAAGAGATAATTTGATACATCAAATGCAGTGTTGACTAATAAATTTTGAGAGTTGACATTTAAATATCTTTAAGTTGCTAAAGTTGAGAAAGAATGCTGTAATTGCCCATAAGAGCACATTGTGGCATTTTGTGGACATTGTACTGTATGGTGCAAGAGCTAAACCACATCTTCCAAATAATTTTCAAAACTGCTTTAATACTTGGCGGATTTTTACAATGGCTTTGTAATCTATGCAATTTACAAGTAGAGTGCTCTGTGTGCTTTGGTTAGAATATTTCTTCATATTTTTCCCTTACCTTTATTTTAAGCATTTATCTTTATTACAGATGTTTGTTTATGATATAAATTCTCTATTACATGGAAGGTAAATCTTCTGCACTGCATTCTGTTAGTATTCAAACTGTATTGACAGTCAGTGCATACTAAATCAACTGGATTAGAATTTTTGAGATTAAATGTCATCTGTTCCAACTAAATAACAGCTCTTTTCCCAAAAATGTGGATGTGTAAGGTTTAGTGGCTCCCTCTACTGGACAATTCTAAATATGTTTACATTTGTTAGCTTTTTCATTAAGTATTTGTCAAAAGATTTAAAACTACATTTTATGTATAGTGCTTTAACTTTGTATAGGTGCTTGATGCTTTATTTAATATTAGAAATATATTTAGCTTGTTTGATATTTCATTGGGGTAATTTAACTACATGATAATTCATGACAAATAGGTTCATAGAAATAGTCAGAACTACAGTAGTGGTCATTAATAATTGGTGGGGTTTTTGGCCCTAGAAAAATATAGTGTCTGTCTTCTGTCAAAGATATGTCTTTTCCAATACTAGAATGCAAGCAAAATATATTCACACTGAATTTATATAACTTTCTTTTATTCCATCTTTATGATCCAATTTTTAAAGAACAAATTACGCTTAGTTATGGTTCAGTTGTAGCTACATTGTACACACACACACACACACACACACACACTTCCTGGAAAATGAGGTTAAAATCTAAGATCAAAGTAACTCAGACAGAGGTTAATCAGCTGATGGAATTATAGAAGGTGTGAAGATTAAAGGTAAGACTCAACTACTGAAAGAAATATAAGAGCCTGACTATATCTAAGCCCCTAGAGCAGGGGTGTCAAACTGCTGGCCCATGGGCCAGATGCGTCATGCCAAAGCCACGCCCACCCCATTGCCGGCAATGGGGAAAAAGTCATGATACATCGCGACACGTCACGTGACATTGTGAGTTTGATACCCTGCCGAGCAGGGGGTTGGACTAGATGACCTCCAAGGTCCCTTCCAACTTTACTACTATTACTATTACTAAGACTCACAGCACTGACTACCAAGCTAAGGAGGTACATTAGAGAAGCAGAGGCCAAAAAGATAAATGCTTGTTCTCAAAAGAACCATCCAATTGTAAAGTAACAAAAAAAAAAAAAATAATAACAGCAAAGCCCAGCAACAGAAGAAAGTGAACAGTATTGGAAGAACATATGGAAGAAACAGATGCCACATAACACCATTGCAAAGTGGCTGCAGGACCTGAGAATAGGCCACTGAAATCTCCTAGAACATGAAGAACTGGATAGCACCTGGTCCAAACATGATCCATACCTACAGGCTAAAGAACACCTAGCAGCTCAGAGAAACCAGCTCTTCATGTTCTTAAACTGCTGCTGCTAGCACAAGGAAGAATAGTGCTGATCATGAAAGAGCCCTACAAGGAAACAGTGCCATTCAACCAGCCAAAAATCTGCCTCTCCACAACATGGAAAGACCTATCAAGCATCATAACAACTAGGCTAAAGGACCATATGGCCAATACATGAGCACAGCTCAGAAGGGCGTAAAGAATAACACCACAGGCAGAAAACACCAGTTGCTCATCGATAAAGCAGTTGCTCAAGACTCAATGTCTGGACCAACCAATCTGAGCACAGCCTAGATTGATGACAGGAAAGCCTATGACTCAGTGCTACATACACAACGTCCATAGGATGTTAAGGCCCTTCTTCAATGGGGTTATGGAAGACAACACTGGAAGTCAACTCAAGACAACTCACATAAGTAGTCATCAAGTGCAACTTATACCAACATGATGCACTGTTATTGCTAATGCTCTGCATAGACTTGAATTCCCTCAGCCAGATAATCACAATAGGGCTAGAAGTTCAGGAGTCACCATCAGTCACTTCTTCCACATGAATGACATCAAGTTGTATACCAAAAGTAAATGAGACATCAACTTGCTGATCTACCTGACATGAGTCTACAGTGAGGACTTTAGGATGTCATTCAGACTAGAGAAGTGTGGCCGGATGATAATCAAAATAGAGAAGAGAATTATGACTGATGGGGTAGAGGACTGTAGGCAATACAGCAGATAGACACACCAGATACAAATACCTTAGTATCCCACAGTCACACAGGAACCATAATGAAGTGACAAGGAAAACAATAACATCCAAATACCACCAAAGGATAAGGTAAGTCCTTGAGAGACAGCTCAATGTGAAAAACAAGATCCATGCCATCAACATGTTCTTAAACTGCCATTAATAAGATACTCTGCTCGTGAAGTGAGCTGGCCAAAGGTTGTACAGAGGTTCAACACCCAGAGACTATACACTAGCCAGAAAGAGGATGGTCAGGTTCTAGTGAGTATCAAAGTCACTGTCATGGATGAAACCTAGAGCAGCCAGGAGTACATCAGTAAGATGGCACTCAAAGATGTTGAAAAATGCTTGAGGCAGCAGCAGACATGGGAAAAAGATCAAGAAGAAGAAGTGTCATGGCAAAAAAAGGCCCTGCATGGGATATACCATAGACAGATAACTGAGGTGGCAGACATTTGAAAATCCTGTCAGTGGCTGGAAAGGCCTGGATTAAAAGACAGCATTGAGACACTGATCATAGCAGCATAAGAATAGGCATTAAGCACCAATTCCATAGAAGCAGAGGTCTACCACATGAGACAGGAACTAAGGTGTAGGCTATGCAGAGAAGTTTCAGAGACAAATCAACACATAAAAGTAGGATGTATGATCCAGGCAGTAACAGTATATACACTGAATGGCACAATCTAAGTAATTGACATTGTGTACAGGAAAATCTACACAGTATATGAGCTAGACTTTCCAGATTCAGATGGGAGGTTCTACAAAAGTTGGTTTGAATAATTGGCCTGAAATCCTGTGACACTTTCAGATCCAGATAGACAGGAAGGTACTGGCCAATCAACCTGACATAATGATAGCAGACAAGGAACAGAAGACAAAGAAAGTGATAGATGTAGCAATGCCAAGTGACAGCAACATCAGAAAGGAGGAGTATGAAAAGCTGAAGAAGTATCAGAGACTAAAAGAGGAACTAGAGAGGATATAAAAAGTGGTCCCAATGACAGTAGGAGCAAAGTGGTCCCAATAGTGGTAGGCATACTCAGGGCTATGATTACTAATCTAGGAAAGTGGCTCCCATGAACAACATCACTACTCCCTGACCAGAATAGTGCAGTGTTAGGAACAGCTAAAATATTGTGCAGAACTCTTAAAACTCCCAGGTCTCTGGTAGAGGACCTAAGACTGGGGTGCATACCTACTACCCATAGAGTAGTAGAGAAGAATTTTTTCCCTTTTAAAATGTATTTCTGAATTAGATTTTTGAATTATTCATATTTGATTGATATAATATTTAATAAGCAAACATCATAAAATTTTTTGCCCTTAAACCACTTGAGTCTTAGGTCACTGTCAGATTAGGTTATTAGGTAATTAGAGAATTACCCTGTGGAATTCTGAGAGAACCAAGGCCACAAGAAAATATTCACTTCAGCAGGAGCAAAATTCATAGTGTTCTAGGCAATCTGTTTCCTGAAATAATGTTAGCAACTAAGACTGAAAGAACAGATTAATATGGATTTAACTTTTCCACAAAGCCATTCACACTTATATGAAAAATGAGAGAACCAGCACAATCTTGACGCACCCTCACTGGTACACAAAGAGTATCTTCCCAGGTGATTGATGTAGTAAGGTTCTTCCCCAGCAGTTAACTTGTTTGCAACTTATCTCTCTTAATGCAAGCAAGAAGTAGGTGTCTATGATTCAGTCATGCAGCCTCCACAAATTCTAATCTTTGGAAACCTTCCACAGCAAGACATTTTGTCACAATCAAAAACCCAGTTGCTCTTTGACAGGAAGTAGTATGGAAAAACAAACAAACAAACAAACAAAAATACCAGTTCTACTGCATAACATTTACTGGATATATGGCTCCATGCCAAGTAACTTCACACTGAAGTTCCCAGAAAAAGAAGGGATGAATTATAGTAATTTCAATCTAACATTCAATTATCTAACACTATAAACTGCAAAAAATAATGGTGTTAGAATAGCAATATGAGGTATAATAGTTAATACATCCTAACAATACCCTTGTGCTAATGAAAATTTATAACATTGCAATCCTATGCCCATATGACAACAATAAGACAGACTTTGGCCAAAATGACAAGTACATTGTTTCTGTTTAATTGTTCTGCTTAATGATAAACAAAACACAGAAATATGCAAACAGAGATATTCTTTCTTATAATCATTCCTGATCTGACGGCCATGATAGTATACTTCAGAAAATTTTTAAACAGCAAATATTTAGGAGTTAACTAGAATTGCAATCTTGAATGATATTAATCATATCAGCCCTGTTTGTTTTACTGTTCTTATTATGTCTTGTTTTTTGTGAATCTTGGGTTTAATCAGTTCTAGGCTATCCAGAGTCTTTGACTGAAGTAGCATACAGATTTTGGTAAATACAATAAAACACTTCAAAATGGTGGAAGTGAATTCTATAGTGAATGTATAAGTGCAATGAGCAGAAAGAATAAACTTGA